AAAACAATTATGATTTAAAAAATTATTTTCTGGTTAGCGTTTTGTTAGCGAGTTATTTTTCTACGGAATGGGGTCGCTAACCCCATACCAAACCCTCCTCCTTTATCCGGGCTTGAGGCCGGCAATAGCCCTAAACGGGCTCCAGGCGGAGCCGTTGGTCAGACACTATCCGTCACAAACTACTGTGGGAGAGAACAAATCAGATACCAGCGGAGGAAGAAATGATGAAGAAGGGCTGGAAGTTGATAGGACGCACATTAAAGAAATCACTCAACTGCGTCATAAGGCAAGCCCTCATTCGGAAGCCTCAAGGTCGAAGGAGAAGAAGATCAAACAACAGATTACACTGAGTAATAGAGTCAAACATGAGAAGAATGAACAACAATTGAACAGAACTGGAAAAGAAGGCTCAAGACAGAGTGGGTTGTAGAATGTTGGTTGGCAGCCTATGCTTCATTTAGATTACCAAGCGTAAGTAAGTAAGTAGGTGATTTAAGAAATTTCTCACAACTACTATATAATCCACATTAACCACAATCATAAAATAGTTTTAATACATAAAAATTCCTCTAAAATGAATTTTTTAAAAAAAATACAAATGAAACTAACACTTTTAAAATTACAAAAGTGGAATGAAAAATCTTTTTTTACATTTCTTTTCTCTTTTCTCTTTTTCTTTCTTCTTTCTCTTTTTTTTTGTTACTAACATTTAATTTACATTTCAAGTGAACTGAATATAAAAATCTTTTTCCAATGACAAATTACTAATTTTAAATTAAAAAAACAAACAAACCCAAATGTTTTTACAGATTCTTCTAATGAATAGTGAAACAATCATGATTGTTACTTTATTTTATGAATGAATTCAATGATACAAATTAATTGAAAGACAAATATTTTATTACTACTTATAATGAATTTAATGTTTAATGTGATATAATCAAGTACTTTATAGAGAATCAATTCATTAAAGGGTTTGTAGAAGTTGGTAATCTGTTATGTAAATTGTAAAATATAATACATTCCACAAATCTATCAATTTTATAATAATTATATGTTTATTAGTGAATCATTTCGGACTTACTTACCTACGCCTGTTACTCTTAATGCTGACCGACATTCTACACCCCTGTCTGTCGTGAGGCTTCCTTTCTAGTTCTATTCAATTGTTGTTTATTCTCCTCATATCTGTCTCCATTTCTCAACGTAATGTGTTTTTTGATCTGCCTCTTCTCCTTTGGCCATGAGGATTCCAAATGAGGGCTTGCTTCATGACGCAATTGAGTGCTTTCTACAATATGTGTCCTATCAACTTCCAGCGCTTCTTCCTGATTTGTTCCTCCGCTGGTATCTGATTTGCTCTCTCTCAGAGTAGGTTGTTGCTGATAGTGTAGAGGCCAACGGATCCGAAGTATTTTGCGTAGGAAACTGTTAATAAACACTTGTATCTTCTGGATGATGGTTTTCGTAGTTCTCCAAGATTCCGCCACATAAAGTGAGAAGACATAACCTGAGGACTTCAGCTATATCCAGTGTGTTGCCGATATCTGTCAATTTTTTTTTGAAGATGTTCAGGTAATATAATAAATAGACTGAAATTTTTTTGAAAGTAAATTATTGAATGTCAGTTTAGTAGCCTACAGGTTATGTGTTATTCACGAGACTTAAATAATTCAGATAAGATTCACAATAGGATTGTGAGTGTACAATGTTGAGTTAGTTCACTATTAAGACTATATAGTTGTCCAGTGTTTTGTAGTTTTGAAATTGAAATCATGATTTGTAAAAATCATATTGTTAAATAGGTGGCGCATTTGACAAATAACTTGATGAAATATGGATGAAAGTATTAAAAAAAAACGGTTTCTCCAATAATTTATAGGATAACATGATTGTATAATGTTACTTTATTACACTAGTTCTCTATACAATTCACTAATGATGGAGAAAAATTAAAGTTCTTTCATTTAACAATAACAAGCTGTTTGTAAACTCTCGTTATTATTATAAATCATATTCGATTAAATAAATACTGAAAACTAGATAATGAGAGAAATTACTATCAACTAACGAAATGAATATCAGTAAGGGTTGACAAATTCAATACTGACTATTGAGTAACTCTAGTAATAATTTCTAAAAAACAGAAACTCCATAATCTTTAGATCTAATAAATACGGGGTAAAGATTGTAGGGTGGTGAACGGGAACACAAGTGGGGACAATCGAATGTATTTGAATAGAAAATTACAGAACATCTTAACAAAATCTGTGAACCATACAGTCAATACTCCATTTGGAAAATGTCAATCAATCGTCTCAGACTTCATTGTTCTTTCGATTTCACATCAATCATTCTTTGTTTTTGTTCTGTTTTCTTTGATTTTTTTGACCTGTTACCAGGCATTTCGCTTTCGATTGATGATACGTACTAATTATATCTGTCAACATCAGTAGCACATACCGATACCACTGGATGAGGATTACTATGTATCAATACTTGAACGAAATTCCAAAACTTAGAAAACTATTCTAACTTTATCCCTATATACGGTATCGTACTCGCTGAAAGTTCTGCAAATCAATTCCGTGAATATATTAAAGCATTCTATCGTTTAGAGTTCTTTTAATAATTCATCTGAATGAAAAACATTATAACACATATATCTTAAGGCAGAAATGTATATTGTTAATTTCATTACTAGTTATTAGGGATTATTATTAAGACGTTAAACAGAAATTTTCATCAATCTGAAATGGTATATAACTGTCTTAAACCTTGTTAGAGTTTTGTTCTGTGAGCTGGATGGTTTAGTCGTGGAGCTTTCATCGTTCTTCTGAACGAGATCATCAACACAAACTACAGGTAGAAGTGAAGGTTGTGCCGATGATGTCGTTCAGAAGAACGAGGAAAGCTCCACGACTAAACCATCCAGCTCACAGAACAAATCTTCATCAAAATCATCCACCTGAGCTACAAATCTTCATCATCTCAAAGCTATGATAAACATCTACTTTTATTGGAACAAACATTTTGTATTATGTAAATAAACAGTTTTATTGCAAAAATATTAAAAAAACAGACACTTGAAAATCTTAATTTTCTACAAATTTTGTTTAATAGTTTTCCATAGATTTTTCTGCAGTAAGCAAAACTGATTGTTTGTGCATAGGTTTCTTTAAAACTGAATATAATCTTTTTTGTTGTCGATGAAATTCTTTGAAAAACTTATTCTTTACCATAATTTTGGATAACGATTTTAAGATTGACTTGATCAAATGTCTCCAATCTTCCTATTTTGAGGAATCTTCGGGTAAATTTTGGGGTTTTCCCCAATGTCGTGAAAATTTCGATAGTTTTCTTCAAAGTTTGAGGAAATTTTTGGGGAAAACCCCAAATTGTATAAGATTCTGAGGAAATATTCAGGCAGACTCGAAATTCCCCTAAACATATTGAGGATTTTCCCCAAACCTGGAGAAATTTTGGGGTTTTTGTGCCTTTTCCCCAAAACAGGGATATTGGGTCCATTTATAAATGTAAGTCGTTGATGTATAAATTTAGGTAAGTAAAGGTTATTAGTAGATGATCCTTTGAATAGTTAAATTCTACGTTCATAGACCAACGAGTTAAAATTGGTTTTAGTACAATATAGTATCTCATATTATCATATTTTAAATATACACCAACTTATCATTCTCTATATTAATTAAAACTTTAAGATGTATCAAGAATATACTTAATTATCAGTTTTTTTTCTGAGTTAGTTATCTAAAGGCAAGATGTGATGACTTGATAAATCTTTTTAGTAAAAGTATTGTTTTCACAAACATTGTTTAGTGTAAACTTTATTTATTGTTTAGACGACTTAACAAAAAGACATCTTTCAACAGTTAAGATCATGAGTTAACTGAAGCTAGACCACCATGGAAAACCTGGAAGCCATGGACGGCCATTTCGTCCTAGTATGGAACACCTCAACAGTACGCATCAATAACCCTGTCCTCATGGGATTCTAACCCATGACCTATCAGTTTCACGCCAGGCGCTTAACCAACTAGATCACTGACCCAGCATCCGATTGTGTTAATATCTAACTTCAACTAATCCTTGAAAAGGAGATCTGTTTAAAAAGTATAGTTCCAGTAATATTCCCTGGTTCATGTAACTATTCTTAAATCATTTTTTTTTCAAAATTCAATATATGAATACACTAATCTAATCAATTATACACAATAGGACAAAATAGTCGTCCAGTATTTCCAGGTTTACCATAGTGATTTAACTTCAATTAACTTATAATGTTAACTATTGAAATAATACATATTATCATGTATTTAATGATTTACAGTCTATAAAGTTATCCACTATTAAACTTATTCTACTCATTTATCTATTAATTAAATAAGCTAACCAATCAGAGTTCAGTTGTTTTTATTTCTTTAATCATAGACGGATTATATTCTAATATGACAAAGGAATTATATATATATATATATATATATATATATATATATATATATATATATATATATATATATATATATATATATATGCGTCAATGAATACAATAAAATATGATAGGTAAATAGGTAGAAATACAAATGGACCAGTGAATTTATTTATATAAAACTATACAATATATATATACATACATATATGTGAATGTATGTATTTATAATATGAAGGGATAAATACAATATTCTATTATGAATACCTATAAGCATTGTCTCTTTCATCATTATCAAATAAAATTTATATTATTTGTCTATGAACCAATATCTATGATTTGTTATTTTTTGTTTTTCCAATCATAAATCTATGGATATATATATATATATATATATATATATATATATATATATATATATATATATATATATATATATACGCAATATACTGATGAATACGCCTACATACCTATAGAGTATATTAAACAATATACATAATTATTAATATAGACTTTAATTATTTTAAATAGTAGTTTGTATGCTTGTTCATTAGTAATACTTATATGATATATTTGTTCTATTCTTTATATTGTCAAATAATACTCTATGTTACTTAGGGAATTCATCCATGAAATTATATCTATCTTATGTAAGAGATTAGAAACAAGGTTGAAAATTGTTGTTTTTTTTTTTTTTGCTTTCGAAGAAAAGTTTGTGCATCTTAATATAGACATATATATGTATTAATTGACAAACATAACACATGTGTAGGCGTAATATATCTATCTATAACACAAAGTACACACTATAATATTGTATATTATAGAACATTTAACAATTATATATACATAGAATAATATGAATAATAATTTCATTATCTCTTGTTTTATTTTCAAATAACTATATTAACCGCCAAATTTATTTTAAATTTTTAAATCATTTCACCTCAAACAATAATTACATGTTTCCAAGAAACGGATTTATTTATAAAAGATCATTTAATGAATAGTAATGAAAAACTATTAAAAAAAATCTTTTTTCTGTTTGTTTGTTTGTTTGAATAAATTCAATTCAATAATGAAAAATTCATTATTAACTGAACGATAATATAAACACAACTACAATGTCTATAATGAAATATTATAAAAAGTGTCAATATCATAAAGGAAAACAATATTCTATCAATGGAATAATTGTTTTAATTTTATTTATATATACATTAACAATTAATCATATAAATGCATTTGGAAATATGGGTTATTGGTGGTAAGTGTATAATTTTAAAATGAAATATATATACTTGGAAACTATTGCGGGATATATATATATATATATATATATATATATAATTTTTTGATTAGCGTTTCTTTAGCGAGTTAGTTTTCGACGAAATGGGGTCGCTAACTCCATGCTCAACCCTCTTCCTTTATCCGAGCTTGGGATGGACAATAGGCCCAGAGGCCTATATATATTATTGGATCGTTTGTAACCAACTACTGAAAATCTTAACAGATTGTTGTCATTTTCTAAATAAGTAGAATTGAGATTAGCTGTTTATTTTGAGTAACATGTCATTCAAATATCTTATATATACCATGTAATTTCTTGGTAATTATTTGCATTATAATTATTCATGGGTAGGACATAATATCATGGAAAAGTATAAGTATTAAACACCGGTAGTTAGACACCGTGTCATAAGTGCATGTGAATTTGTTTAATAGAGAGTCATGTTAGGGTTAAGAAACTACACACCCATATATCTGTTTATAGTATCAGATGAGTAAAATTCAATTTATTTAAAATTGTCTATTTCTTGTAGGTTTAGTAAATGTCTTACTGAAAACGGTTAATAACTAGACAGTCTTAGTGCTACCATGAAACACTAAATGAACATGTTTTTTGCCAGTTTTTTTGTGTTACAACATAAGGTTTAACGTTTCTTAATATGAAAAAAATATACTACTGGAAAAGTATTCTAAAGACTAAGTTTCTTTCACTTAATTTTAATTTGCAAATCATTAAAGTCTATCATATTTAAACAAATAAGGACTTGTTTTTGATGGTTAGCCACATACAAACTCATGCAACATACTTAACAATATTGTCTATTTCATCATAAATTGTTTGTTGTGAATGATTTATTCATTGAGACGAAAAAACTAATCATCTGAAACATTGAAAGTGTTATACATCATGTGAAATCAGTTCTCAAGTATACATCTTTTAATGTCGTAAAAGCAAGGATTGGCAAAACAAGGGCCACATTCCTACAACTGAAAAATATGTGGAAATCAAAATAACTGTCAACCAACATCAAAGTCAAAATATTCAATATGAACGTCAAGATACTTCTACTGTATGGAGCTGAAACGTGGAGAACTACTACAACTATCATCAAACAGGTACAAGTACTTATAAACGAAAAATACTAAACATCCGTTGACTAGAAATCATCAGCAACAGCTTATTGTAGGAGGAAAACAAACCAGGTTCCAGCTGAGGAGGAAATTAGGAAAATGAATAGGACATACATTACGGAAATAATCAAACTGCATCACAAGGTAGATGCTTACCTGGAATTCTGAAATCTAGCTTTAATTGACTCATGAATTCAACTATTAATTTACTAAAATCTCCACGAAACCCCATTTTGATTTAGATAATTGTTAATTCCATTTAAACATTCAGCATAGTGTTAAATGATTAGAATTGACCTGGTATACTCACTTGTAAAATCTAAGTAATAATAGTAATAATACCGTGTTAATAATGAATAGTTGATCAAAAAGAAACCTTTCTCAGGTCAATTTCGTGTTTCTAACCCTTTAATGGAAATATGTAATTTTCAAAAATTATTATTGAATATTATATGAATAACAATTGTAAAATAACATGAGAGATTGAATAAATCAGATCGATTGTTTTTAGTTGGTTGACAAAATTATTGAAGTGATAGTAAGAGAGAGAATTGACAAGATACTTAATTGCATACTTTAGTGTAATAATCTTTAAATTAACTATGTGAAAATAACTGGTTCAAATCTACATGCCTTTGAACCTAACTTATAGTTATAATTGTTACATCCTATCGAATACATATTGTTTGGTCATAATAAACTTTAATCTTAGTGTAGTTTTGATTTCTTTCACAAAGCACATCTTTATTCGTTACTATCTGGGTTAAAAAATAACGATAAATATAAGGTAGTTATAGAATATGACTTGTCGTTAAAAACTGACTAAGAAACTGAAATCCCCTACTGTATTCAGTAATAGTTCAATACGTGAAGTGTTCAAAAATCTAAATTTTCTCTCATGATGTAAAGTCTTCAGACTACTTGGCTGAAACGATTGTCTGATAAAGCATCAGCAAAGTATTCAAACAACTCATCTTCGACCCATTTGTTTGCAAGTTGGAATCCCGAAACGTCTATCTATTTTTTGTGGTTTATATCCCTTACTATCGTTCACAGAAATAATGTTACTCAAATCGGAGCAAAATATTTTTAAATTAGCCAATAAGATGTTTTAACAATGGATCAAACATTGAAGTGAAATCCAACTGTCCTTCATTTATCCTTCAGTTGTTTGATGATCACCAATAAACTAAATTTGTAATTAATATACAGCCTTCAATTCCTAATGAATAAGCTGGAACGTGCTTAACTTGAAGAGTGGTAGTATTTGCCGACAAGTTGATGCCAGAGATTCCTGTGGATGACGAATGAAAATCACTATTTAGATAGGATAGCTAAAGTCCCAGTTAGGTGTTATTCTTTTTGAAAGTTCTTAATTACTGACCATCTGATTTATGTTAAAAATAAGTCTTTTGTGGCAAGCAATGCAGAAGTGGTTTGGCTAATACAGTTTCTAAGGATTCAAACTTCCAAAATCGTTCGAACTTTAACAACTTTAGCAAATCCAGGCGGACTGAAAACACTGTTTAGCATATATTGAGTAATTTGCTTCTCTTCATTAGTTATTTAGACTATACTTATCAACATCCAAATGTAGTTGTAAGCCTTAACCAATAGGCGTTGTTTAACTTCATCAGTCGATCGGTTTTGTGGGTCCTTCTATAACTAAAATCTGTACCTAGGATTTACATCAATCTAACAAATAAAACACTTAGTTCACACTACGTCAATAAATGTGTGTTTTCGTGTCCGGGAATCAGATATGCAGGATGAGAGTTTCGTGATATCTGATTCAATAATAGAGAAGAGTCCTATAACTTAACATAGTAATTGTTTAAAAATCCTTTTTTCACTGATTGTTAACAAGTTTCCTTACAGTTTATACTAAAATAGAAATGGTCGGACATTTCTTACAGCAAATCGTCATCTACACTTATTGTATCGATCGACATTCATAAAAGAGGCGAACACTTTCCTGCTTCATTATTTAAAGGCAGATGTTTCATAGTCTGAATTTTCTAGAATTGTACTCTCACTCATACATTCTCCTATTGAATGTTAAAATGAAAGTTCTACTTGGTGAAAAACCAAAGGAAACTTAGAATTAATGGAAGATAAGAATATTTAGGATGCAATTCTTACTAGCTTTTCAACGTACGTTACTGTCTCAGGAATGATTTGCATCGATACCTGGTTTGAAAACAGGAAGTAGATTATATTCAGTTATCTTAAGAATCTACTTAACTTTTTTGACTTAATCGATAGCGAAAACTCACTTCAGGTGGAAAATTTCAGTCCACTTTACGTCATACATAACTCAAGCGAAATGTTCGTCCGCATACCAAAAATTAAGTATTTTGTGAGACAGTATGTACGCCATAAATTGATGACTATCAAACATGATTTATAAAGTTAGACGTTATGTGCAAATGAAGAATGTGCTTGTACCATTGTTGAAGTAAAATGTAATCGCTAAATGAGAATTAATAATGGTAGATATAAGGTTTTGCGGAAGTCGGCAAGTTTATAGATGAAATAGCAGGAATATTTATGATTAAAGTTCTTATGTAAAGGGGCTGAATGAAGCTAATAATTATTTCATACTTTTCATTCTTTAGTTGCAGTTCTTCATATCAAATTATATTTGTATTGTCTAATGTTTCACTCATTTACTGTAAACTTTGCTAGTTTTCTCTGAATTCATTAAAGCAAAGTGTGGAAACTAAGGCTAGTCAGTGATATTTTTTAATTTCTAAGCAATGTTTCAATTTAATATCAAAGGGGTTTTTGTGGATATTATGGTTGAGATCATGAGTCAATTGAAGCTAGATCACCATGAAAAACATGAAAGTACTGGAAGGCTGTTTTGTCCCATTGTGGGACTCCTCAGCAGTGCGCGTCAACGATACTATCTCGCGAGATTTTAACCCGGGACCTATCAGTCTCGCGCGCGAGTGGTTAAACACCAAAACGAATTGCATTCTTTTTCTGTGAATCTTAAAGTCGCACACAATTCTATAAGTTACCACGTTTTAAGCTAAATAAATTGCCAATTAACAATTACTAGTTAGTTAAGACAGTTTCACTCTAGAATTTTGTCAACTTGATTCATTTATATAGTCTTGATAACTGTGATGTTTATTTGTAAAATAACTCACTTTTTTTTCTCTTTTTCTTTTCTCTCTCACTCTTTTTGACATACTTCATTGTATACAGACTTTATATAGAAATATCTTTTATGGTAACTTACAAGCGTTTAGCTATGATATCTGTTGAATATTTTCATTCATCATTTTACTTTACGAATAACTTGTTCAATATTAATGCAGCATAGACTAATGTTGATAACAATGTAAAGAACTTGCATATCTTTTACTCAAGTGTCATGTACTCAGATGTATTCCAAATGGATTATATTAGTAATGATTAGTTAGTCATAATAACTGATATAATAATGAATGGGAAATTCAACAGATTGATTCCTTTCACTTCATATAATTGAACGGTCATAAAAATACTGTAACCATATAAAATATTTACTGTAGAGACTGAGTAACTATAATTGAATTAAATAAAAGTTCTTTTGTTTAAAACAATTCATAGCTGAAAATTGGAATTCACTGATGAATCATTTTGTTTTCTTTTGTTTTTTTATACCATGACAACTATTCACATTAATGTCAAGCATATTGTTATTCAATGAATTTGTAATACAAACTACTTTGGTCTTGATTTTCAGCAGATTTTCGAAATTATAATAATATGATATACTTATGGGCAATCTCTTAAAACTGTTCTTAACTTCTGTCATTTTATTGGTCATTTGAATGTTTAGGACCATAATTG